GTGGCAGAGAAGCCACACAAGAGGTGGCGGAGGAGCCGCCCCGAAGGGCGGCGGCACAGCCACCAGCTGCTCAGAAGAGGGCGGTGGGAAAGGAGAGAAGTTCTAGAGAGAAGGAGGAGCCTCTCTCTCTAAAGCTCTCTCAAAAATTAAAAGATAATTATACTTGATCTGCCAACTTTAGCATATTCTCAAAACCTTTAACAAAGTTAATTATTTTATTTTATTCTTTAAAAAAAAATTATTTTTTCATTCTTAAAAATGCCAGTCATGGCTGGCCTGGCCCAAATGAGGATACAAAATTCAGCCGTTAGATCCATATGGACGGTTGAGATCAAATTTTCTCAATAACTTACAACCGGGTATGTGAAACCCAAACCCGAAATTAATACCTAGCAAAAATTCAACACATTCAACATCCACAAGGTTGAAGTTTGAACACAAAAACCCATAACGCTAAGAAACATAGCTAAAAAGTGATGTGTATTGAAATAAGAGAAACAAATGATAAATGCAAAGAATGAATATAACCCAAGTTACGCTTGAGGAGTTTGCTTATAGGGTTTGGCTCTATTAGTGATTAGTTGAACTTTTCCACCCCTATTCATGTGGACAGAGGTTCGAAACTCTTATATACCTTAGTAATATTTGTGTAAACTCAATTGCTTGTACTAAAAAAAAAAATTTACACTCTGAATTTTTAAATTTATTATCTCATGAATTTTTAAACACACTAACGACAACACAACATGTAAAGTTAAACTATTAGTGGAGAAGGGCATATGAACTTCACAATGGGCTGCCCCATTAAAGCCTGGTCTTTTTGTCTTTGTTAGCTTCATTAAAGCATGTTATTAAACTTAAATAAAAAAAGCCTGCAAGTTCACAAGTAGATGGGCCAATCCAATCCATATTTAGTTGTCAGGAAAGAAAGAGGTTAATCAACTATATTTGCGAGTTTCTGTTGGACATAGAGTAACTTAATATCTTTCTTCTTTTTACTTTTTTGTTGTTGTTTTGTTTTTGCAATGTTCAATGTTTAATCCATGTAACAATGCAGGCCCATGGAAAGGGAGGATGATGATTTTGGTAGTCTTCATGAGGATAGCATGGATGTCGGACTTCATGCAACAAATCGGTTGGAATTGAATGTAGAGCAGGACTCCCACCCACAGCCCAAAAGTTGTCTATGTCAACGACACTCAGTCTAATCCTCCCTCAATGGACGAAGACAGTAAAGATTCAGTCTTAGAAGTTGGTACAGAGTTCGAGTTCGAGTCGGATATGCAGATGGCAAATGTGCCAGAATGCTCTCAAGCACCTTAACCACATAGTAAACGATACCGAATCTTTTGCCCATGATTTCAAGAGCTGTATATAAGACCACAAAGATGAGGATGGGTTTATGTATGCTTGGGGGAATATTCTGGATAATTATGGTCTTCAGCAGAATGACTAGTGAACGAGAGAAATGGGCTGTGATATACGGCAGGAATACTTTTTTTGTTGACAGAAAAGGCTCACATCTGGTTGAAAGTTTGTTTCATGATTTGAGAAATTACCTATACTCTGACCTAGATGTGCTTGATTTGGTTAAGTATTTCGAAAGGGTGGTAGAGCAATGTTACAAAGAAATAGAAGCCAATGATAAAATGAACCGTTGCATGCCAAGACTAATGGGGAATGTGATTTTGCTAAAGCATGCAAGTGATGTTTACACTCCAAATGCATTTGATATCTGCACCACCTGGAGTGTGATGAGGCACTCTTGATGACATATAAAAATGCATTTGATATCTGCACCACCTGGTCAACTCCCATTTTTACAACACAAAATGAAGTTTATAACTTGAACTTGACATACAGAAAACCCAAGTTGTATATATGAACTTGGCAGGGCTTCAATGGAGGCAACCTTTGGTCCTTGAAGAAGAAGCTTGAAAAGCATCCATATGCTCAGGGACCTCAAAAGTCACTCTTTGCTGTGTTATAGCCTTTTCTTTCTTTTCATCTTTTTCGTCTATGTTTCTCTACGGACGTGAGAACTGCCCAACCTATCTGAGATAAAATACACATGTTATGCCTTTTATTTACTCAAGCACTAAAACTTTTTAGATGATTTCATTGGTATAGTTCACTATTATTATGCTTGTAAGTTGTAAAGTACATCTTTTCTTCTCTGCTTGATCCTAAATATTGCTTGGACAGGGATCATCCTAAATATATTCACTAACAATTAAGAGTTTATTTATACTTTCGTTAAATATAACATAAGACTTTGTGGTATCCACTAGTGTAAATATTTTAAATTGAAGATCAAATTTAGTCGTTGTATTCATATAGGGTCAAGGAGTGTAACTGTAAAAAAAATCATCAAAATCGGAGTTAAAATAACCGTTAAATCGTGATTTTTCATTTATAACCGTCGAAAAGTTTTGTCCCATTACTTGATCTCTGAATGTCTATTTTTTCCCCATTTTTGGCGTATATGATCTCGAAGTATAAACAAACAAGTTTGACAGTTGGATCGTTGAAACTAGTTTCTTAGAATGCGTATGCCATCAAAACAATATATTCACTAACAATTAAGAGTTTATTTATACTTTCGTTAAATATAACCTAAGATTTTGTGGTATCCACTAGTGTAAAATTTTAAATTGAAGATCAAATTTAGTCGTTGTATTCATATATGGTCAAGGAGTGTAGCTGTAAAAAATCATCAAAATCGGAGTTAACATAACCGTTAAATCGTGATTTTTCATTTATAACCGTCGAAAAGTTTTGTCCCATTACTTGATCTTTGAATGTCTATTTTTTCCCTTTTTTGGCGTATATGATCTCGAAGTATAAACAAACAAGTTTGACGGTTGGATCGTTGAAACTAGTTTCGTAGAATGCGTATGCCATCAAAACAATATATTCATTAACAATTAAGAGTTTATTTATACTTTTGTTAAATATAACATAAGATTTTGTGGTATCTACTAGTGTAAATATTTTAAATTGAAGATAAAATTCAGTCGTTGTATTCATATAGGGTCAGTTAGAGGTGTCAAACGGGACGGGCCGGCCCAGCACGGCACGAGCCCAGCCCGTTTAAATGAGGCACGGCACGGCACGAGCACGAATATTAATGGGCCGTGTCCAGCACGGCACGAAAACTTGGGCTGAGCGGGGATCAAAACAGCTTGGGCTCGGTTTTTTAACTGAAATTGAAGCCAAAATCGAGAAGGCCCAGCCTAGAAACTGTTGGATCTCGATAATGAACAATCTCGGGCTTTGAATTTGAAGAAAAGAAATCAGTCCAAAAATGAAGCCCAAAGTCAATTTCAAGAGCTACCAAATGAACCGAAAGAAAGTCCAGCCCATGTGCTCTGTGCAGCCCACGATCCAAAACTCAACTTGGGCTTGGTCTTGGTGTTGGAATATTAAATGAAATTGGAATCAGCCCATAAACTTTGAAAAAAGCCCAGGCCAGATTTGGGCACTATGATCAATCTCCCAAAGACAAACTCAACTTGGGCTTAGTATTTTAACTGAAATTGGGGAACCAGCCCAAAGATTGGAAGAAGCCCAAGCTATTTTTGACGGCTGCCAATTTTTCACTCAGGCGTGAAAATTAATTACCATTATGGGTAATTTAATTTAAACACGCCCAGCTCCAAAATTACCCAGCCTCAATCTTGATTTCCAAAGACCCAAGGAATTGATCTCCACCGTCCATCTCCAGACAAACAAACAAGAAAAGAGAATTTTTCCTCCACTACCACAAAGCTCATGGTGACTCATTCATAAAGTTGGATAAGGGCAGAGGAATTTCAGGAAAACAGATAGGAATGGGCGAAAAGTGAAGCCAAGGGGGATTAATCATCATGACAGATTGGATTAACAGGCAAGAATACCACAAAGGGAATATTGCAGCAAGTGATTGCCAGGTACCAAGGAGTAAAGCGTCTTGGATTTTGCTTATAAATTCAGAGAAACAAGAGTTCAAAAGGACAATCATCTTCAACAGCAAAATATAAACAAACACTCAAAAACCCAATCAATCAATGGCCAAAGCCACAAATTCTCAGTCAAGCTGACAAAATCAAAGATCATTTGATCTCAAAAGCCTTCAAATCCAGAAGCACTCAAGTCACTTGGCTTACAAAAATTATCTAGCCTTTCTAGCAAAACAGGCAGAACTCTGTTTCTGACCCCAAAAGAACATAACTCAGGTTCTTGGTTCAAAATCCAGCTCAAGGAGACAGCTCACAATCAGGAAAAACGAGATTCCATTCGTTACAAATTTGTTCAGCTCAAAGCCAAATCAGACAAGATTATGGTTTTCCACAAATATGAAAATCTCAACAAATTTCCAGGAATACTTTTGAGTCTTCAGAACAGCCAGAGCTGCTCTCAGCCCTCGTTTGATTCTTATCAAGCCAAGCAGGCATTGCAGCGCAACTCTCAGCCAGCAGTCATTAGTCTAATCATCTCCATCCCAGTGCAGGCTGACGAAACGGCAATTTTGCCTATCCAGCAAGCCTTTCCACGGCTAAAACAGATTAAAGCTCTGCCAATTTCAACATTGGTATCGATTTTCAGCTGAATCCCATCAGTTGAAGATACTGACGAGCAATTCCAGTATAGACACATCCAGTCCAGCCAGACTCACAAATCACAATCTAGGCAGAAGTGAAAGTCCAAGCCCTTGCCTACTTTTCTCTCAAATAGAAATGGCAGTTTTATTTTGTTTTAATGTTGAACATTGGTATAGTTCACTATTATTATGCTTGTAAAGTACATCTTTTATTCTCTGCTTGATCCTAAATATTGCTTGGACAGGGATCATTCAATTCTGGCCATCTTCTCGCTCCAACTGAAATCTTGATTGCTATCCACGTAATTGATCCCGACAGAGATGGAATTCCACTAAAGAAGGCATGTCATCTTTTGTTTTTATTGATTGGCTACCTCTCTGAGTGGCAATAATGAATTGCTGGATATGTTTTTTGTTGAGCAGGTCCCAGATGGATGCAACCCCTGCATTGAGCAGAGGCAGATATTAACCCAACAAGATCTTGCCAAAGTTTTGAATCAGTTGGTCTGTAACATTGGAACTTTATTAAATTTTTGTTACCACTGGTTTCGAGCAGAACTTAAAGACAAGCTTCTTAGTTGCAGGTTGAGCAGATTCCCTTCCTTTACTGTTCATACGCACAGTATTACAAGCCATATGTGCTTTTCCTGCACTGGTAAGATCCCAAAAACTCTTTAAACTGATTGAGGACAAGAAGGGAAATATGTGGGGTATCTGCTCTTTATTTAGTATGAGATGTATGCTGTAAATTGTTGAGAATTAATGAAATATAGGTAAACTCAAGGAACTTTCAGTATGTTGCTTACTTTTCTTTATCAAAAAATATTGTGGGAGCAAATTTCCCCACAAGAATATTCGATTGGGAAGATTCCTCTTTCTTCTTCACCGCCTCTTTCTCCCTTCAAAATAGAACAAATGAGAGGACCACACCCGGGGGGGTCTTGGCCAAAGGCTCTCCGAAGCCTAAATTAGTTCAAGAGTTTATGAGGAAAACACCAGCTAACTAGGGTACGGAGATATATGTGTTTATGGTGTAAACTGGGCGGCCGGAGCCTTTTGTAAGAGAGGGGGAGAGAGGAGGCGGCTAGGGTTTTTGAGAGGAAAATTTATGCAAAGTTTTAGTAGTAATTATGACGTACCTCAACCCTTGTGTATGGCCATCCTTTTATAGAGGTCTCGGGAGCTAGGGTTTCAGAGGAATAATTCCATAGATGGAAGGGAATTATTCCTCCCCAATTTGGGAATGATTTGATTAATTAGGGATTTGATTTATTAGGTTAAATCAAATCCCTAATTGTGGTAGGTATTAAATCAATTCCTAATTTAATTAGGTAACTCCTCCTTTAATTGGGAATTTCCGTAGGAATCAAATCAATTCTCAACCTAATTAGGTAACATTCCATTTAATTGGGTAATCCCCAATTAAATTGAGTAACTCCCAATTAGGTTGATTAATTCCAAATTAGGTCAAATAATCCCCAAATGGAAGGAATTATTTGACCTAGGGTTATGAATTAATTCAGTTCCCACAAATATCATAGGTGGATTTTCTAATGGAGATCCTCTCTCAATTTGTGAGCAAGCAGGCAACTTTCAGTATCCGAAGCATTTTTCTTGCCACTTCTCCTTGACCTGGCTTGGTGCATGAGTTGTGATGATCAGCAGCAGAGTTTGACATGGAGAAGAAAGGAAGAAAGGAAGAAAGAAACAGAGAAGAGGCAGAGTAATAGGAAATGGAAATTACAAAGAGGAGAGGGAGGGAACGTGGGAGGAGGAAGTAACGGCCTGTTGTTAGTGTTACAGAGTTTGTAAATTTAATTCGTTTTTATTTTATTTAATGGGTTTAGAATTTAAAGTGGGAGCGGATTTGTGATGTTGTTGAAAATCATACTATGTGACGTGGGAAAATCATCATGATATTCCCTCCCTCACTCCCATTCACAGTCATCGACTTTCTGTGTGAGAGTGAGAGAGAGAATTGGCCATGTGACGAATAGTGTGGGTTGATAATTTAATTGATATTTATATGTGGTTCATTAATACTTTACTGTGAGTAACTGCCATGCCAATAAGGAATATATCACTTTCGCTCTCTATCTCTCTCTCTGTATAATACATATATATCATATATCCATGTTGCAAAAGATCAATAATAACCGATAAATGGTATTTATAAATATATATGTAAAAGTAATCATGATATTCCTTTCGCACTCTCTCTATCTCTGAGAAACTGAAACTGCGTGTGTGAAAGTGAGAGTGAGGGACAGTAACTTTGCAACAATTTGCTTGGCCTCCAAGTCCTCACCTTTCCAAATTATTCACCACAGAAAATTTACTTACTTTGGTTGATACTCTCTCTCGCTCTCTCTTGTGAGAAAATGGTTCTCTCTCCTCTCTGCCACGCAGTATGAGAAACAGAGTGTGTGTTTGTTAAAGTGTGTGAGAGCGAGAGTGAGAAACAGCGCGAGAGTGAGAGTGAGGAACAGTACTTTTCAATTTGCTTAGCCTCCAAGAAAATCCTCTCTTACTACAAATGTATAGAGGAGAGGAGTAAGAGGCCCAAACCAAAGAAGTAATAGAGAGAGAGAACCAGAGAAAAAGAGAGAGAGAAAGAGATTGAAATTTCATGTGAGTTGTGCCAAGATGCTTTGCCCAGCCAAGCCAGCTTGACAAAGCATACGGAACTGGTCCACTTGGACCAGTATCCCGACGACCAATATCGGTGCTGTTGGCGCTAAAACTAGATGGATAGTAATTAGACCAACTTTAAGATGAGGTGGATGTTGAAGGTGAGGACCCTCAGTATGTGAGAGCATTTGGTAAGTAAATAGGCATGCATACAGAAGACAAATGTACGTGGTTCACCCGAATAATGGGCTACGTCCACGGAGAAGTATGTTCTCATTACGATAATGTGAGTATACATTGCACATAGGTTTAGACTCAAGGAGAAGAGGAAGAATACCGAAGGCCGAAGGCTGGAGGCTGAGGATCTGGCATGATCCATGGGTTTTTAAGTGGGCTCATGGGTAGGCCCATAAGGCCCGAGTAAGCCATATGGAGCCCTAGTAGCATGCCCAACACTCTTCCTTCTTCTTGAAGGAGAGGGGTCTTCTTTTATAAGTGAGGAAGAGTCCCCTCTTCTTGTGTTTTATCGTTGTGGGACTTCCTTCCCTTTACTTGGATTGGCTTGGGAATGCTTGGCCAGATATTGTACAAACAGGTGCTACTTGTGCACCCGCCTAAGGAGGTACTTCTTGATTGGGGACTTGTAATCATTAATGCACTGGCCAAGTAATGCTTCAGCTCATTCTTCAGCAGTCTGATGGCTGATGGCCGATGCCGAAGGTCGATAGCCGATGGCCGAAGGCTGATGGCCGATGGCTGATGGCGCCGAAGGCTGATGGCCGATGCCGAAGGTCGATAGCCAATGGTCGAAGACTGATGGTCGATGCCGAAGGTCAATAGCCGATGGCCAAGGCCGAAGGCCGATAGCCAATGAC